TTTGAGAGGGGTCACAACAATATTAATGGGTTTGCAGAGATATTACCTGAGTAGACTTTTCACATTGAAGCAAGCTCTATTCTCATTGCTCATACTGCACTGACTGGTTGTAGGTTTTTTTTCTTTTTGTTGTGCCACTTTATGAACTCGGTGCTGTTTCACTCCACTAGTACCTTCTTATAGTCGTGAGCCAACGTAGTCCCCTACTTATCGTGCTTTGACGAAATAAAGAACGACCACTCGCAATGGTGGAAAAATGCGATTTCTGAGCTTGTTGCAAAAGCCTGGTCTTTTCCTTTTCTTACACCTTTCGAGTTCACAAAATTATAAATTCAGGAAAACACCGTAACTCGGAACCCGCGTCGGTGCCGGGCGTGGTTGCAAGCTTCCAGCGCGAACTCTAGCGCCAAGGTGCGAGCGACTGCTATCAGCGAGGCTACCCCTAATCGGCTAATCCAAAAATGGGGCAGAGTCGCAGTGCTCGCCTCTCTGCTTGCGCGGCGAGGCTGAACGTTGCGCACGCAGGCAAAGGAAAGTAATCCCTGCGTGCGCCAGAAGTTTATAAGTTCAGGAACGTAGGCTGTACCACACCACAAACCTCTCGACGTTGCACTGGGGCGCGCAATGTCACGTGTCATCGATTTTCCATGTGTGCTCGGCACCCACTTATCGTTTTCTCTGCGTTCTCTCAACGAAGAGAGAATGCGTCGAGCAAACTCGCCAACTATACTAAGCGCAGTTGATCAAGAACGCGGAGGATAGCACGCACACGGTTTGGCCTCACGTAGGATGAGGCGGCACGTGGGGATTACCTCCCTTGCCCGTGCCCGCGCGCAGAGCGCGTGCAGCATTTGCCTCCCCGCGCGAGTGCTGCAACCTGCCCCATTTTCGGGACGCTGCACGCCGGTGTGGCGTCGTTGATCGTATTCGCTCGCAACCTAACAACGGCATCGCTTGCCGGAGGACTGCGACCGCGCCCTGGCGCTAATGTGGGTTACGGTACAGATCCTATGTTCCTAAGCTCATAATCTTGTGCCGCCATCCTACGCGAGCTCAATTCGATACGCGTGCCATTCTGTACCTCCTACATTAACGGCGCTCGGGTCAATTGGCGACTCCCGCTTTGCTTCTTCCATCGTTGAGAGAACGCAGAGAAAACAAGAACTGGGAGGCGAGCACGCATGGAAAATCGATGACACGTGACATTGCGCGCCCCAGTGCCAACGCCTCAACGCGGGAAGCATTACGATATACCGCCCTATGTTGCTGAACTTAAAATCTTCTTTCGAGTTCAGTGTGGGCTCCTACCTATTTTTCCGGTATAACAGCATGGGTGGCCGGCATATTCGTGTGTAAGAGTCCCGGTAAGTGGCTATTTATGGATTTTTGATCCAACACGTCTCCCACGCAGGGTCGATCTTTACGACCCCCCCCCTGTGTCTAATTTTTATGAAGACACAATTCATACCAATTTTTTATTCCTTTTATCTCTATAATGAGGTTTCTTTTCACCCTGGAAAAGTATAAAATAATAGAACATTTCAAACTTCACGAGATCAGGACTAATCAAAGTGAAGTACATCCTTCACGAGATCAGGACTAAACAAAATGCGCAGGCTTAGTCCCAGAGACGTTTCTACAGAGTGTCCCCCCCAGCCACATTGTGCCCAAAATCCTACTGGTGAGTTTTCATAGGAGATTCAGAGTACGTCATTAAGCATTCTCCGCTGGAGAAAACGGGTGGGTTGTGGCGTCATATTATGGAGAAGTGGGGGAAATGATTGAGAATGCCGAGAAGGTAGTGGAAACGCGTGTTGACAGGTTTCGAATGTATTGAATCGCGCGCTGGGTGCTGCAATGGGGCGCGTTTGTTGAATGGGAAGCAGGTGTCGAAATGGGAAATCGAGAAGTATAGGAACTTTTCCTTGGAAAATTTCAGGTTCCTCGGAAGACGGAGGTGGATTTTGGATCACCGAGGGTCATCCTTCTTCAAGTAGAGCGGATTTGTTCTTAAACAATCTGAAATAATTAAGTTATTGAGCAAGAAATGAGTTTGCACTACAATTTTCACCTTCCTCTTTTTAGGGCTATAACTTTCTTCATATTCGAGCTTTTGCGCCGAAGTTATTTGATTTAAAAAATTCAAATTATTCTCTCTCCAATCATATCTGAAAATTCTTCGAAAGTTAATTTAAGTAAAAATTTAGTACGTTGTTACTTTTTTCTGTGCAAATGCGACTTTTTGACCTTTAAACGATCATAACTTCCTTCAAAGTCATTCATTTGGGAAGCTGAACACGGTATGATAAACTACAGGATTCAAGCTTTCTAAAAAGTACCCAAACGTTCTGAAAAGTCAGTAATTCAAAAATTAGTCCCGTTGCTACATTTTTTGGGCATTCTCCAAGCCATTCTCTTAAGAAAGCGGTTTTTTTAGGTTTCACTGGCCGCAACCTCCAGGGAAAAGATATCGTGCTGACCATAGGATGTGTTAGAATGCTTTGTGCATGCGCTTGCACTGATATCCCCTGCCTTGGTGTGCGCCACGCCTCGGTCGCGCTTCTGATTCGCTGATTCATTTGAAAGCTCATTCAGAAGGAAGCGGCTTACAGATGCTCTAGCATCAATTATCTTGCGTAAACGTAATGTGGTGACTATTGTCCATGTTGTCTTAGGCAATACTCCAGCTACACTTTAGTTTCAAATGTGGTTTCGTGGGTGGACCCATGTCATGGTGGGAGCACTTTTTTGAACGATGCTACATGTCTTGCAGCTGCTGTTTCTGCAAGTCTTCCTTTCTCATGCTCTTCCTGAAACATGGTTATGATCAGTAGGGAGATTACCACAAATCCCACTGCCGGCCACCGAGAGAGTACGACCCCCCCCCTCCGGGTCCATCCAAGTACGACCCCCCGTTGCTACTTGTAGCAACATAGGGTTGACCCTGCTCCCACGTCGCCGAAACTAGTCGAGATGAGATACACATTTCTATAGTCGCCTTTGAATGAGAACTTTGAACTTCTCTCTAAATCTGCTAAACGTTTCCACGAACGGAGCTATTATGAATCCGCAAAGCCAGCGGTATGATGCTGGCTCTTATTATTAGGCACGTGCTCGTACGATTGACCCCTTTGCGGACCTCTACTTTTGTGCACAACATTTCTGAAAATACTTTTGTAAACGTCAGCTCATCTATGCTTGATTTAGCTACCTGTCAAATGTGTTTACAATAAACTTTTGGCATTTGACCAGGCGGACGACTGACCCTGCGCTTCCGCGATAAAAACCATGATCAAGCAAGCAAGCGTTCTGTGGACAGTTTATCCCCCTGTGTGATTTCCTAACCAAGGCTGAAGTTTTCACTGAATGTTGAGAATTTGTAGTATCCAGAACCTATGGGCGCGCACTGATTTTGGGATGAAACTGACTAATTCAATAATTTTTCAGTATGCCTCTGAAGACGAAAAAAGTATTATTTGATTCATTCAGAAGTATAATCGCAGAATTCACTGGCAATATTATCAAATACGAATAAAATGGATCAGCCCCGTTGTTATGAGCTGCAGGATAACATCAACGACATTTCTTCGAAGTCATGACAAAACCTCCTAATTGGCTCGGCTCTATCTCGTACAGTTAGGTTGAATCTCTAAGTGAAACTTGCTCGAAACGAAAGCTCCTAGTACGCACTTCGGGAGCCAAGATCCCCAATGGGATAGTGGTGTCCAACAAGCAGGTCAGCGCAGTCTTCAAGCTAGCAACCCACGAGAGCTTTGACAACGAAATGTCAATTGAAGTCTTGTGGTCATCCTTTTAGAAGAGAAAGAAAACAGCAAACAAGTGAAAGATTCTACAACCTCCGATCCGTACTGCTACTGCCTTCGTTACCGACACTTATTCACACCACCCTATGCAGCCTTGCACGCAAGACAGTTCAATGGAAAAGCCTTCGCTACTCTGTTCAGAGAACCGCTTAGCAGACTTCAGAGGCATCGTACTGTATAGCGTTTTGAGAATCGCTTCTTAATCTTTTAAAGATACAACAAACTCAGAAGAGAAAGGCGAGGACTGCTCTGTTTCTGTCTTAGCCCACCTCTTCTATCGTAGCCTGTACTGACATCCCACATGCTGGACTCTTCAATGGAGTCTGTGATACGCTCACCGATGTACATTATTCAGACTGACAGTTATACTGACAGAGCGTAGACTATTATTTTGTGACACTGATGGGATGAAACCCAGTTATGTTTGCTATCGGTTCATATA